CTTCGCAAGTATTTAGACTTCATATATTGCATGACAATCTCTCTTTATTGAATTGTCATATTTCACTGGCAAAGAATGTCGCTGGAGACCTTAATATGTTATCAAAAATGGATTAGTCCGGACATTTGGCATAAACAAAAATCTGATGAGCGTCGAATTTCTGGAAGATTTTTTTCGAGCCGCCAGTTTTTTCCAGAACAAAGTTAAATTGATCCAAAATTATAGCTATATCAAGGATTTACCTTGAAAGCAATTTAACTGACAATGACGTGCACAATTTTCCTCTGTTACAGTTGATATCATCGTTAACGGCAAATGATAGTTACCAGTTCTACTCTTCATGTTTAATACACGGCGATTGTTTTGCCGAAGTGAATGATGAAGAGCTTCCTTCATTCTAGATATTAGTGTACATTGATTAGTGAATTTATGGCAACTGGAAAGAAAAGTTAAGTGGTGAAGTCATTCATTCAAATGGCCGCTAAAATTACCCTAATACTCCCGGGAAATGACCATAAACCACTCACACCACCAAATATCCACAAAGAACTTGCAAGTTCTGTCCAAAGTAAAGACGAAATCTATTGTCGGCTGAACTAATATGGTTTATAATCAGTTCCCATCACTTTCATATTTCCTTGGATATTTTATTCCGGCAAGTAATATGTGCCTAACCTTTAACATTAGGTTAACAAGTGAACAATAGAATACCTTTTTTCGAAGATAAGATGACGGTGTTTCTCCGGTACGGACCATTGCACCTCACATGCAATTCCTAGGAAGCCAATCTCTTCATGAAACCATAAACGAAATTCGTTGAGGACATCATCAATCAGACCAACAATACCACCCGATGAAAGCTCGAAAATAGTTGTTATGTACTTTGTTTCCGCAATGCTATCTCGGAGTAGCTTTTCAGTAGTTACATAATCCGGTATCTTGGCTTCCTCATCCTCAAGCTTCAAATCTCTTATAGTGTCAATTTGTCTTGGAATGGCAACCGCTTTCAGGCTATCTTTTTCGTTCTTTTGCAACTCATCACTGTCAAAAGATTGCTGTGTGATCGTTCCTAGCGTACGCTGGAACAACGGTTGGGCTCGAAAAAAAGCTGCTCCAAGAGGTGACAAAGCGGGTGATTCAGCAGTTGATACGCTGTAGCGTAGATCAATTCCCGACAAGTAGCCACTTTCACGTCCACATGATTCCGGTAATGATTCATCCATAGACATATCCAATTCATAAACGGATTTTCGTGTTATACTTCGCTGCGCCCCATAGGTAGAATAATCGGAAACGTAATCGGCATCTTCGGATTCACATGATTTATCGTGGATTGAGGAGTTTGCCGTTCTGAAAGTCTCGCAGTTTCTATCACCTAACATTTGATCATCAGGAGTCTTCGCAATCTTTGGACGTCTATTCTCTTCGAGCTTCTGCTCGTCGTACTGTAGTTGATGTTGTTGTTGCTGCGGATTATATTCCTGTAAATGATGATATACCATTGCGGCTGAATAAACACGATAATAACTGAATGCTGAAACCTGAAATCCATTCAACAAAATGTTTCTCACTTACTGAGGATTGCCTTGTTACTGCTGTTGTCGTCGTCGCGATACTTTGAATGGTTGATATTATTGGTTTCAAATGTGTCCGACGATTACTGCTACCTTTGCGGTCGTTTTTTGAGGTATCCGTTTGTTGCTCTACTAAATTATCTTCATCACTACCCGAACTGGAAACTTCTCGATGACAATTTACACGTTTCGTAGTAGTACGACGGCTCTTGCTGCTTAGGCGTCGTAAAATTTTATCCAACTTCTCAATAGCATTCATCTTTTAGTAGAACACAGGATAACCTGTCACTCCGATCTTTGCTGCGACACAGATGGCACCACTGCCATTCAGAGCTTCGGACAAACTCCCCTCTGAAAACCCTGAATCTCGCGACGATGAGATAGTAAAAGCTTGTTCAATAGCCGTAATCCACCCTTCGATAAGTTTTTCTCGTATGATTCTGACGCGTCCTGATTTCGGATATTAAAATGATTCGCGAAAGAGCACACAAATATCGACTTTAACTGCTCGCAAACAAACACGATGTGATGCATGGTTATTCAGAGAAATCGTCCGATAAGATAACAGTAACAGTAGTGGTGACATTAGGGAAAGATTAAGGCAAATTAAACAGAGGGATTTTCTTGAATGGCTCTAGGAGAAAATGTTTGAATTTCGAAAAATTTACAAATTTCACTACTAAAAATAAAAAAAACCCATTACCAGAATGGGGAAAAATTTTCGAAACTTCATTTAACTTCAAAAAATCATGAATTACCACATGAATATCAATAAATCACTTTGATATTCTCCAACATTCTACCTATAACTGATTTTATTTGTGATCTTCTACCTCTGCTGGAAACTCCGCAATAATTAATGATAACAGATGAAATTTCCAAGTTTGGAAAGGAACTGAAAATGATGTTGTTTAAAAGTGCAAAAGAGTCAAGAATCAAATGTAAGGATAAAAATTAGTCTCAAAAACATACAAATTCGATAAATCTGGCATTTAATAGCCGTGAGGTAATAATAATAGCACTTTGGATTACTCTTATTGCTCTCATTAGTAGAAGGGAATGAACAAGGTGGAAAATGAGGGATGAATTAATTGGATGAAAGTGAATGAAATTGTTAATAAGGGATGGGATGGAAGGTAGGAGGACAACAGTATGCATAAAATATACATTAACAACCGCTCAGAAACAAGAAAAAAGCTATAAGGGGAAGACGAAGAAGTGGATTTAATGGGTTGTCCCTTGTTAAAGGACAGATTGTTCCTCTATCGTCTTTTCATTTTTCTGCTTCTCTAAAATAATTCAATATATTTGAAAGAAGTGCGACTATCCTTCTCCTCATACCATTATGCCAACTTTTACATCATCCCAACATTGTGTGTATTAATCATTTTCAATAAACTGTAGGGTAACTGTAGGGTATTATCGAAATCTTTTCTAACCTTCAGAAATAAAGGACAATACAATTTTCAATCGTAATCATTGTTATGATCTATTGTTGTGGTGAGTGATATGATATGATATATTCATATGTCAATTTTTAATCTTAATCATTACTGTATCCAATTTGGTTACATTTACAAGTTGCAGGTTAAAGTAAACTCAAATTCAAATTTAAAGACTTATAAAATTCAAAATTGAAAAAGAATCAACAAGTTATAGCAGTTTAAAAAGCATAAATAAAAATGGAACATATTTATGCTAGATTACTGTGCATATTCTATTTACAGTATTGAAATTTATAATTTTTTACTTAGACAGCAACCCTACTAAGATCGTTCTATGATCGATTTTCAGATAAGTTTTTTTTTTTTGATAACCTTTCAAATTTTCGATGGTAGTGATAAATTTTCAGCCTAGATGGAAATACGAAATTTATAATGTACCGCATAATTCATTGAAAGGCACAAATTAAATTCTTCAAATTTCAATCCTATTATAAGACAGTATGAAATTTTCCTATTGAATTGCATCACATACTACGATGACCTTCCAAAGTGTTGAGAGTAGTTTGTTGGGAAAATTACAGAAATGGGTGTAAACAAAATTAAAATACCCTAAAAGGAAAAACGTTTTTCGATAAGGAAACGAAGAATCAGGATAGATTGAAAAGAATGAACAGGAAAATTTCAGGAAAGTTTATACAGATAACAGATGCTACTGGAAAGAACTGTTGACTAGAACTATTTACCATTTGATTTCACAATAAGTGATAACCTCTGTTAAAGTGGAACCTCTTTTTTTCCTCATTCTCGCAATCTTTTTTCCCATATTTCCTTCCTTATTTCTCCTCCTTTATATATTTATCGCAGCACTGTTCAGGATTAGTTTAGGATAATGTTCATTCCTCTAACCTTTAAAAGTCAAACATATCCAAGTTCAACTCCTCACTGCAATGTATGATAAGATTGAACTGCACTGTCGGATAAACAAGCGAACCTTCTAATGGAAAAAAAAAAGGAAAGGAAATGTCTCCATCAGATTTCTTACTTAAACTTCCATCAAATTCAATTCAAAATAGGTCCGAAAACTCTGAATTTAAGTGATTTCGTACAAACATAGTCTGAAAAAAGAAAGAAAAAAAAAGACGGCCGTAAGTTAACATCTGATAATAACAATTGTTATTTTTTCTAGAAATTGTACGTATCGAATGTGTTAATGGAGGAATTCAGTGATACACTTCTTTCCTGATTTAAAGCAATGTTTGAAAAAAGAAAAAAGGAAAAAAGGAAAACCGATTCGATTATAATTCATTCATTATTCCTTACCAAACAGAGACGAAATTATTAGTTGAAATCTGAGGTTGAAACGGAAATAAAAAAAAAAGTGCATAAAAATCAATTCGATGTAAACAATGCTAAATAAAGCAACACTAAAAATCAAAATGAATTACATATTTTTGTTGATATTTTTGAGAAATCTTCACAAAGTTTGTTTCAAAAAAATAAGTAAAATAAAGGTCAGAGGTTAGGCCCTTGTTGCTAACTTTAAATACTCGATTTTTACGGAAGTGGCTACATTCTCTCTTAGAGTTTTCCTTCATTATATGAACTATCACCTTTTTCCATGACTTTTATCAACATTTTTATCGAAAAAAATAAAAATTCGACGTATCAAGATGAGCAAGAATTCTATGCTAATATTGACACGAATAACTGACCATATGAAATAAAACACATTCTTTGATGTTTGACTTTTTTATGCTTTTAATGAAACCATAGAACCGGTTATTTGCAAACATCTTACAGCATCCATGTACGGTCTTAACGTTGCATACGCTGCATGCTTTATGTGTTGCATAAGAATCTCGTAGCGTGCAATATCGGATGATTGCCAAAATTGAATCATTATGTCCAAAAAATTTGCAATTAATCTCAAATTTTTTTCTAAATCCTATTTTTCATTAACTGTTATACTTTCACCTATGGACTTCTTCAACTTCGACAAAAAAAAAAAAAAAGACCTTCCAGCTAATATTTAAATTATATCTAAAGTTGTGGGAACTGAAATAAACATGACTTTTGGAGAGGGAAGAAGAGAAACTTAAAGAACTAATCAGTTGTATTTGCAGTCTTCGATAGACACAAGTTCGAATTTCAACAAGTTTAACCGAAATCGGATCGATTCAGAACACATTTTCGACACTTCAGATGTTGAATTTGTCAGGCTTAAAAAATCGGTCAGTCTCTGATGAAATGCTTCTAATACTGGAATTCGACAGGCTCAAATAAAGAAATCGATCGACTTTAGAGATTTCATGGTATATTTTTCGTAGTATCAGACCAAATGGTAATTGTTGAGTGTACATTCCTTAAATCCGATAGTTGTGAATCAGGAAAAAAAGAAAGCTGAAAGTTTTTTATCCTAACAAGAAAAGTTTGGTGGTGGTTTACTTCACTACTGTCGTTGTGATTCAAAATATTATTGAAATTTCATCCTTTTTTTTTTCCATTACCAAAGAAAATTTAGCTGTCTTAATGCCATATTATTTTCGTTTGCTTTATTTGCACAAATACACTTCGTTCAGTAATAAACTGATGTCTGTCTACTCTACCATATCGTTGTTCAACTGTGCCAACAAATAAAAACTTTAACAGTTGAGAAAATGCAACTTGTTTATCGAATTGGATTGGAAAACTGGCCATAATTTAATCATTTTTTTACAAAATGTAAATGAAGTTTGAAATTCGAAGAAAAAAAAAGACGGTGGAACAACGATAGATATAAACTTTTACTACGCAAGTTTCTGACAAAATAGCTAACTACTAAAGATAGCACTAATGGCATGAACAAATGACATAACTTGACCCTCCTCTTCCTCTTTCTCCTTATCTACCATATGATTGTTTGACCTCTAGAAGCATGCAAAAATAACAGTTACACGTAAGGATTTAGTAACAAATGATACCATCAAAAATGGCAAAATAAAATTTTTTTAACGGTATCATTGAACCTTCTGTCATTTTATAGCAATAAAAGTATTGCTTTTTTCAAAGCGACAATAACGATCCGACAATGGTGGTATGAGAAAATGTCTTCTCTACAAGACGACTGCTTTTTTCAATCAAAAATTATGGCACCATTTGTTCTCCCTCTTTTGTGATGCATACAAAGTGTGTAAATTCACATCGAGCAAATCTAAATTTCTTCAGGTTTAGAATAGTTAAAAGTTGGCAATATTACGGCAATAATAACGTATGAAAATGCAATCGGATTCTACTCCATATTACTCCTAACAGTGAGAAAAGTCAGCAGTAAAAATTTAAAGTGCTATAATCCGGTATGAAATAAAAGTACGATTTATCAAGGTGAAGTACATTTCTAAAATTAGTTGATTCAGCTTACCTTATATCGATAAAGGAAGGGATAAGGGAGAAGAGCGCAAAGGAGTGGAAAGTCGAACAAAATCAATGAAACGACACACTATGGCTATTATTTTATTATTTTATTGAGCGATTATTTTAAAAAGTTTGGAAACGATGAGAAAAGTATCGAATGGTTATATTTCGAAGGTTTATATTTTGCGGGGAGCAGAAAGTATCAGTAACTGTAAAAGTAACAAATTACTTAAAATGACACTTCCTAACAATAAATTTGTAAAAATACACCACTTGACAATAGCTCTCCTTCCCATCTCAACCAAACAATTAAAACACTGTACTGACTTTTCTCATCAATTCTTTAAAATGTTGTATCATCAGAAAACAATACTGTACGACCTTCAAACCCCGAGATACAGTATCAATGTGAACTGTACAATTTCACACACTTAGAATTCGATTTTTTATCAAATTAATATTTAATGATTTGTTAAGGGAAAGGAATTTGATAAAGAAGGAGGTTATTATCACAACTAACTTGATCATGACAAAATAGTCCTTAAAAGATTGAATTTTATGGTTATAAATAAAATAATTCTTGAACGAATGCATCTCGACAACAACATAT